CATCTCTACAATAAATTAAAAAATTAGCCGGGCGTGGTAGCACGTGCCTGTAGTTCCAGCTACTTGGAAGGCTGAGGCGGAAGGACTGCCGGAGACCAGTAGGTTGAGGCTACAGTGGCCGGGAGCAGCCATTGCACTCCAGTCTGGGTGACAGAGTGAGACTCCAACTCAAAAAAAAAAAGAAATACACAAAATAACTGCCAAAAGACAGTGGAGAACAATCAATACAGGTAAAATCCAATGGGGCTATTATCCCTAAGAGAAAGGAAGCTAAATAAAATGAGTTCCACATTTACTTTGGCTTTTTCTTGGATTTATGTGCCAATTCATACCATAGGGGAATAGAAAGAAAGCAAAGTCCCAGTGGGTTAAGGAGACAGAGGCTGGAATCTGAGAGGGCAAAGCATCTAAGACCTGAAGTCAATATATCCCAAAAAGGAAGGAACCACATAGAAGTGAGCCCCCCAAATCCTTGTGTAATTTGTCTTGGAGGAGTTTACAAATTCCTAACCTAAGCATACATCAGAAAGAAGAGAATTCAAAACCCTAGCAGAAACCAACAGCTGGGAAGCCAAAGAAATGAGCAGACACTTCAGCAGTCAGCTGCTTGGTACTGGGAAAACAGGTTGTGGAGTTCAAGGTCAGTCAAGGTGGAACTGTCTAGGAATATATCTCAGATAAAAATTAAGACCCCAAAAGGGCTACACTGTAGAAGGACAGACCTGAAATAGAATAGCACTAACAAAGTCTAAAACTAACCATCAACAGGATTAAAATAGCCTGCTTGTGCTTTACACCTGTCTTCCAGAAGATGTTGAATGTAGTCCCTGCCCTCAAGGAGCTCACAGGCTAGTCAGAGACAGGCAAGTAGATCAATAATTACACAACAGTAAAGAGTAAGTGCCATTACAGAGGTTTGCCCAGAAATGTTTAAGTAAGGGGTATACACCTGGAAGTCATTATCACACAAGTAGAAGGTATGATGCAGTCACTTGGAAAGAATATAAAGTGAGAGGAGTCCCTATGCAGTGTTAATCTCCAAGTTTATGCCATTATTGGGTAAGATCTAAGAAAAACTTTTTTCATACTATATTATTCCTTAGAATAAATAATTACAATGAGATATACCAGCATAATTATTTTGGTCACAGCTTGACTTAATGAACTGCTAATAAAAGATAAATAATTCAAATACAAAACAATGGTCTACTGTCAGGAAAACAGCAATGTTCTTACAAAATCCAAAAGAGAACAGTGTCAGGGTTTAAAGTATTTTCTGAGACGCGAACTATAATAAGTATTTTTCAAAGTTGAGTGTTTTAATAGAATCTCCACTCTCAATAGACTCATTGCTCAGTTAAGAAGTATTGCTGGCATCAGAAATTATTGCTGGAATAGACATATGAAGTTCACGACAGACTTCTGAGAATTCAGTCTCTTATAAGACCTTGATTTGCAAGGTGATAGAAATATAATTGTGACAAAATAAATATTCATTCTTTTATGAATAAAATATAAAACTGTCTCCTTATTTAGTAAACTATTAAAAGAAAAAGCATAGGACCTAAGTTAAATAGCATTTGACTTCATGGTCTCTTTCTTAAAAAGGAGAGGAAACAGAAAGCATAAGCCCTAAAGATATTTTGGTATTTCCAGATATTCTAAAATATAAATTCAGGTAAAGAAGCCGTTTAAAGCTCTGCCACATTATTTATTTAATATTTCAAGTTATACCATTTTAAAATGCCCAGTACAATGTGACAAACAATATAAATACAAATGGTACTTACATACTTTTATTTCCTCTATAGTGGCTAGCATCAAGAGTACAATGAATTGAATGAATATAATAACATCTACCTCACATGAATAATTCAAAGACTACCACAAGATATCTATATAAGCAACACTGCATAATTAATCTCCCTCTCCATCCAGAACATACTTCTTTCTGTTTCCACCTGTCCAAATCCAAATAATTCTTTGCAGTATAACAAGTGTTGAATCTGAAAGAATATGGCACGTGGTATCTTCAACCAGATTTTCTGGTCATTCTATGCTTTCTCCATAGGTAATGTCATTCACTGACACATCAACAATTATTAAGCAGAATGACTCAAATTAATTAAAATCTTAGTTTTTACATTTGTACAAACATCCTTTTTAAAAAAACTAGGTAAATCAATTGTTCATTTCTAGTGTATTAATAAATCCTTAGATAAATAAGCATGGAATAAACAAATAAAGAGACCTATGAAAGAGCATTTTGGTCATTTATTAATCAGTCAGTCAATAAACATTAAAAATCAATTTCATATACCAGACTTGATAGAGATGCAGTGAGGAATAAAGCAAACTTAGTATTTCTCCTCATAAAGTTTAAAAATAGACTATACATGTCTCATATTCCTTTTTATACAAACAACATCTTGAGGACAGGGTTTGGGTCTTCTTCAAATTTATATGACCATTTGTATCCTGTATTAGTGATTACTACCAGTCTTTTTACTGTATTATTACCAGTCTTCTGTGGGTATAAGTATCACAATTTGTCAGCTATATTCTGACATTGTCCATGGTGAGTGTTACCATGCAGCTTTAAACAAAAATGCATGGAGTTAAATTGATCAATCGTTTCCTTATAGAAAAAAAGAACAAAGTCTAAAGTAAGTAGAAGGAAGGACATAATAAAGGCCTAATATTAATGAAATATAAAACATGCAATCAGTGAAACCAAATGCTAGAACTTTGAAACAAATTTATGAAATAGATAAATCTCTAGTGTGAATGATTTTAGAAGATGGAAAAAGAAGGCACAAATTACCAATGTCAGGAATGAAAATGGAGACATTGGTACAAATTCTACAGACATTAATGGATAGCAAAAAAATTGTTATAAATAATTTCATGCCAACTAAATAAAAAGCTTAAGTGAAATGGCAAATTCCTTGAAAAATAAACATAGTAAAATAGACACAATAAAATAAAAAATCTGAATAGCTTTATGTCCATTTAAGAAATTGTTACCAAAAAAACCTTTCCTTAAAAAAACTCTATGTCCAAATGGTTTCACTGGTAAATCTATCAAGTATTTACTAAGAAATAATATCAAACCTACATAAACT